TTAGTGTGCAAATAGTGTATTTCACTAATTCCCTGCAATTCGGTTTTAAGTAGAACATAACGTTGACGGAAACTCGGTGACTGGATTAGTCCCGAGAAAGGCGAAACCGGTAGTGGATTGTCGAAGACTTGTCAGCAACTTTATAAATAGCGCATTAATTATAGACATGTATCATAATATATCCAGTGTCCTAGCAAGTGAAACATGGAGTGGCCCGGTGCAGCACATTCCATTGCCTGGGAACGTAACAAACGAGAGATTTAGCTTGGTTCCAGGTGAGTCTCTCGCAAGACCAAGTTAGTGTTCAAATGAGTGTATTTCTCTAAACAGACGATTTGTTTTCAAATGAAGGAACTGTGCACGTGAGCTCATATAACGAACACACTCGACAAATGCGTTCGGTGTAGTAGACTTAATGCTCCTAATAGGAATAATTTTTATCCACTTTTATTGTTTGGTGCGCACAAGCCCCAAAATCATCAGTTGCTAAACTAACCATTTCTATTTAAATTCTTTTGGTGTGTGGAATACAGTTAAAGCCTTTCTGAACCGAAAAAAAATCAGGTAGTTTGTTTGCCACATTTCATTTTCAAACGTGGTGAACAGTATTGTTCGGGAGACATTTCGCATAAATTATCGATATAGATTAACAGTTTTTACCGTGCCACACGTACAGATCTTTGCATTTGTTCAGCAGTGGTGAACGGATAGCGCCTTCCAACTTTCGCAGATGTAGATTCACTTGATAATTTTGAATGACACATGTAATCCAACCTAGTATACAACTGGTCCTCAAACTTTGTTTTTTTAGGAATGTACTAATTTAATCCCGGATGCGGTTTAAACTGGTCATTTATTCAATATTTTTAGCAGAGACTTCATGAGTGACTCGACGGCCACAAATGATGTCGCATCAGTATTTTTCAAAATCACTTCATATGAATGAGTAATCCCCCATCAAACCAATAAACAATCAAGCTATTTTGGCACAACATAGTAAAAATTTCAGTGGAAAATATATCCAAGCGAGGTACCGCGAGCTAATTTTAGTTTGTGATGTCTGAGAAGTGGTGTTCGGTTGGAGTCAGCTAAATGAAGAAATTCGTCTTTTTATCAGCAGTGACATCAGGAAGTAGAACAATGTTATTTGGCTAACTAGGTCGTGCTTGTCTTGGATTAGCCGCTTAGGAACTGCGGATAATGGAGATATTTTGCATCATCACCACGCTTACAGATTACACTAACTTGAACATTTTCAGTTTAACATATATGTGCAAAACGTTACAGATTTTGATAAAAGCTGACATATAGTAGTCTGCTTGGAGTGCTGATCTCCCAAGCCCATCAAGGTGAGTGAACGCAAGTCGAGTAGAAAGTCTGCCTAACTATCGTTTAAAAGTGGCATTGATTAAATTTAATAAAAATGCAAAACACAGGTGGTTTCGAGTGAAAAAGGATCACCTTTGTTGATCGTGTACTGTCAGTATATACTAGATTGAAATAACAACTTCGCCGTGGAAGTTACATAAGCCGTCTTTAGAAGCCATGAATAAACGATGGTCAATACCCAGTTTGATATTTAAACATGGTTTGCTACGAGTTATTAACTTGATATTGCAAAAACATCCCGTCATTAGTTGAGTCGCTTTTGTAAACATGAAGGAGTGAACACTCAAATTTCCTAGAATTTATTATAATAACATGTTCATTTTATTATTATATTTTTTTATTATCTCGATAAATTTCACTCCCACTGACATTTTATCATCTCCCACTCAAACCGTTCCTTTTGTATTTACTTTAGCAGTGCATTAGCGTCTCGTCATATTGTTCCGACATCTTATCCGATGGAATAAAATTCATCATTTAATATTCGGAACGTTTTAGACAAAAACCTTTGTATGTTTGGATTTAAGTGAGCGCCCATTAACTAGGCTGCATTTCAAACGCAGCATTCTTGTTATTTACTGAACTCCACCGCATAGCGTTAGATATCGGGGCACAAGCATAGGAACCTCTAGTTTCTGATTTCTTGAGCACAAAATTTGAGAGCCGTTATAGTAATCTTGTATTGAATCCAGTAAAACGGAATTATGTACTCGAGACTTGAGGTTTGTGTGGCGATAATTGAATCATTACAGATAAAATTGCAACACGCCAACCAAGTAAACAATGTAATATAAGTTTCCACTGACCTTACCCTGGAACTACTTATAAGGTTTGTGAAGACTCTTCGACAACTTTAATCTCAGCCAGATCCCTTGTGTTTATTTCGGAAGACGCTTATGCACGTCTATTCAGGCCATTAAGTGTTTTAGCTTCAAGGCCAAAGTAACCTGTGGGTTTTTAATTTGTACCACAAACAAACCAGATTACTCTCACTTATCTACTCTGGAACTATTCCAGTTTGGAGTAAAATTGTGTTTGCCGTAGACATCAATGCTAATCACCTTAGTAAAAAGCAGTCCCAATTGAAAGCATTAGCTCATCTTAAAAATATCAGACGATTAATGTGCAGCTGAGCATTTATTAAATAATGACATATTTCATATTCACTCTGAGTTGATTATTGTAGGTGGGTTTGACGATATCTATATGCAACCTCGATGTTCAGTCACTCCATGTTTTCGACTTATATTCCTCAGACTATTTCGTGAAGATATAGTAACTCTCAATCCTACTTTTAAGAGTGAAATCTTGACTGAATATGCTAAACTCGTGTACATTTGAAGTTGAACGTTCCTTATGCAGGTTAAGAAGATTAGCTCTTGGTCAAGTAGTTGTATGAGGTCTAATCAAATGGTTAGGATGGTTTAGCACTTAAAATAATAGGTTTAAATTCAGTAAACTGAGGTCTATGGCAAGGTTACTTTTGCGGTGACATGTGTAAGGGTGCTGAGCCCGATTATATCCAGTCAGCCATTGATGTGCTTATGATGAAACGTCACGCCTTAAAAAAATATGATGATTCAAATTTCGTGGGGCTGGCAAAGCAGACGAAAATTATTTTTATGATATATAAGTCCATTTCAAGCAAGTAAAGTTAACGCTGTGCAAAGAAAGATTAAGCACTGAGGTTCTCAATCACTAGAAATGTATCCGGTTGCTCATACATTACGTGAATTTAGTGTAAAGAGAGTACTGAGAATTATTTCTCATTAAATGAGTAATGTGTGTAATTATTTGACAAAAAACTTGGCTGGTTTTTAACGGGGCTTGTTTTTTATCAGATAACTACAAAATACGCCCATAAAGAAAATGTGGTGGGTACCCCTGGACATTTTAGCCAGGTCTTGCTTGAATTAAACCTTGGTTTTTACATGGCGGCAACTTTGAACACGCATCAAAAACAGCTATTCGCTCAGCAGTAAATAAAAGTAGGAATAGTTTTGTGTGGGTACATCATTGAGGTGTGCGTAAACGTCCACTTGATTGATTTTTCTTAGGAAGTCATGAAACTACCACAATTATAGCTCTTGAACATAAAAAAATTTTAAGCATTGTTTTCAAATTAAGATTTGTTACGTGAAATTAATCGACAAAATTTATAAGAGAGCAATCTGGATAATTGTGTGCTTTTTATTTCGTGAGTTATGTTTTGTCAATGGCCGCGTATTAGTTTATACGCCTAATTGTTATTAATGCCAATCGCTAATGCGTGGCCCGTATGTTGTAGTCAGAATTTTCAACCAGAACACAACCGTTCTTCCAAAAATTCTTTTCGCCCATCATGTGAAGCTATTTAAAATTTGCCGGAGTTTTCCCTCAAAGGTACTAAACCGTCCGCAGTAAAACGGATGAAGCCAGACAGTAACTCATCTTTCATTTCTCTGAGTCCCTATTTTATTGCTTGTTGGTCACCAGAGCTGCGAATGTTGCAGTGCCACAGTGGTAGGCAACTTTGTCAAAAATGACTTTCATGGCAAGGGGTTAATAAATAATTCTTGAAAAATTTATGAAAAGAATTATCCATGAAAATAATCAAGCCCCGCAGGCAAAACGCTTAAACGGACAAAAACTTACTGAACTCATCTTACATGTTTTTTTTCGGGATATAGCATTTAATGACACTATGATTTAAGTTTTAGGACTGTAAACGAGTTTTTCCTGTAGCTGCCATCGGGACTTTTTTGTATTTTAAATAAATGAACCAACGTAAGGTGCAAATCTTTCTACCCAAAATTCATGAGCGTGTTTCACACAGAGCTAAAACAAAATTCCTCATTTTTGTACATTATCAGTGTTGGATGGTTTGCTTATCAACGAAAGAAGGGTAAAGAATGTAATGAAGAATGAAACTGCTTGACTTGGTTTCCATTTTTACGCAGTTGAAGACTTTCCTCATTTTGAATCTGAATAGCGAAAAATTCTACTAAAATAATGATTTGCATCGTTAAGGCGGTGTAAGAGAAACTGTTTTACACTGACCAAAATTCTATCCTTCGTGAGTATAACGAACTCGTCCAACAAAATCGGAGACCATTACCAACGGCAACCGCTTTGCTACTCTTATTGAGCCGCATCAACACGCCCGGAACATTTCATGCAAAATGGTAGTGTAAAACAATTTGAATTGGAAACTCGGTTCATTAAATAAATGTATCAAAGCACACACATGCCATATTTTTTGATGTGAAACGTGTCCATTTTGAAAATGGTGTTAGCAGTTAGTTCAAAATTACTGGAAAAATTCTGCGGGACAACCCATGAAGCCCAAAAGATGGTATATTATATTGTGCAAGATTGAGGAGCTACTTGGATGCATTAAGTGGAAGTTCTGGGATAACCTTTCATTTCACGAAGGCTTTACCACCGAGTTGAGAGCATCCACTATCTCTTTTGCGGCAGGATAAAACAGCCTTTTACATTTTCTTGAGGAATGCCTTCCTGAAAGGAAGGAAAATATGTGGTAGCCCGCGTAAAATGTCACTCTTCAGTTTAAAATTGTCACCATTCTGGTAACTTTTGTTTGCATTCTATTTTTTCTAATGTACAAAAAGGTTTGGAAAGCGGTCTTTTCGAGGAGCGGAAGGTCGAATTATCCTGCCGGACATTGATGAAGAGGATGACTTTGTATACCGAGTTGTTTGAACATTTCATTATGCTTGCTCAAAGTGAATTTTGATTCTGCCAGCAATAAATGCTTGCTTAATTAACCATGCTTATTTACACATAAAAGAGGTATTCGTAGACACATATTCTAATGATGTATCTTCTTGTTTTTGGTCGAGGCCAGGCGTCTCCCCAAACCAATAATAGGTATTGAATGAAACCAAGAACGAAGCTGTGAGATTTGGGCACCAGTTAACAGTGTGTAAGGCTGGTGCATAGAACGTGATAGGAAAAAATGACAATTTTTCTTAGACCAAAATAGCTGACTAGGCTCAAGCTGCTCATTTGTAACTAACATCGACAGTACCGAAAAATCTGGTTGACGCAAGATAACTTAACAATTCTCAACTTTGTTGATTTACGACATCAGTAGCAAAGTTTTAATGCGAAAGTATGAAACAGATCGGTTAGTACTCACAGGTGATCTGTGAGTAATACATGATGAATCTGGTGGTCAAAACTTCCATTAAGGTATACTTTAATCCGAGTTCAATGCAAATACTTTCCGTGTAGAACGTTTAAAGACAGACAAGCGGAATGGAAGTAGGTTTGACACTCCGAGGTTTGCATGCTGTGGGTCACTTCTTTTGAGGATTTTCTATAATCCATAGCATCGTTGCTAGGATCCACTATCCAAACTTCTGATTTGTGTGTTCCTGAGAGCTGGAAGTCAGAGGCGGCCAGCATATGTATATTAGTCTGTTGGATAATTGTACTTGTACCGTTATTGTGTGCGTACTTTGGCTGGAATGTGCTTCCGTCCATCCCGTCAGATGTAATGCGGCACTGCTGAGACGCCTGATTTGTACATGACTAGCGATTTGACTTCGCTATGCTGAGTAAGCCAAAACCAGATAGACTGGATGCTGGCTCCACCCAACTGCTTGTGCAGCTCGGATGTGTGTCGATCTTTAGGACTTCGGCGTAATAGAGACCACGCACTCTAAACAGATTATGCGTGAATGGTCAAAGGATGATTATATGGTTTGGCTCGAGTGCGCGTGGTGCAATAGCCGTGTCCCTGCTAGTTTTGAAAGTTCAGTTGCACTTCGTACGACAAAGCAAACTCAGGAGGAGTCCTGTCGTGTTACTGAACCACCTTCGAGAAAGAGATACAGTATCTTCTTTTTTCTTCTTCCGTCCATGGTAATTGAAGGTCGTGTGTTCACAAACTTCCAGGTGATTGCGACGCCATCAGTTGATTCTGACTACAGTTCCTAAGACGACGAACTGGAGTATATCGAACCATTGCAACTGTTGGGCTATATTAGCAATGTTGTGGAATGTAGGTAGCTCGGATGCGCTGTTTGGTTGTTGGTCTGTTCGCCGAGCTTGGCAGTTGGATTGCAAACGTTTCACCACCAATCGAGGTGACATTGTCAGTGCAGGGTTGAGTGGGTCAACTCACTCAACTCAACCCACTCAACTCTGCACTGACGATGTCACCTCGGTTGGTGATGAAACGTTTGCAATCCAATTGTTGGGCTATATGTTGTGCTGCCGGAAACTGATCTGTTGATAGAAACAGAAATGTTCTACTGGCTAGATGGATACGATTGTCTAAAAGGGGTCCATCCTTTTTACTCAGACTCACTCCAATCCTACGACGAAACCGGAGTCACTGGAACTGAAGAAAATCTGAGTTATTGTGCATCGAAAACTGCCAATTTCTGGCCTTTGTAGATTCCACGCCGTTGTATTAACCGTCTAAGCATCTTTTGTTTTAAAATGCTGGTGAAACAAGCCGGAACATACCAACGAATGATAGTGGTATGACCGGAAGATACAGGAAGTGCCGGAGACAAGAGATGTTTTTGTGCTAGTAGAAATATATAAACACTCAATCAAGTATAGAGCGCTTGCTCTGCCTTATTCCTTGTGAAGAATAGTTTTTCAAACTAGGGATCAAGATAATGTTATTCCTTTAGAGTGTAAATGAGCATAGTTAAAACATATCAATCAGTGGGCTCACGTCAGCTGCCAGCATGTAAGATGTGTGCATCGAAGCCAGTTCAATGCTACCATTTTGATGTTGCAGACTGCCAAATCATTTCTAAATTGCCAACAGTCACGCAGGCTCTTCAAGCCTTAGTCAGCCTAGGGCTAAGAGACTGGAACTTATCACGGTGCGACGGTTTGCGCACCTCGGCAGTCGACTAGGATGTAATGGGGGACGCTCCTGCAGTATTCACAGAATATTTTTTGTTAGTTTAATAAACGGTTGGGGGTTGAAAATCCTAGCCTTCTGACCATCCAGGGTGATGGTTTGAACAAATGTGGCAACACGTTCCTTACAATTTCAGCTGCTCTAACAGTCTTCGGCCGACCACATTTGCCTTGCAGTTAGGGTTATATAGCTGGAGACCCCGGTTCAAGACCTTAATCGTCCTCCTGCTTAAGTTTTGGCGCAGTGGCAATATCTCATCCCAAACGCAATAATGAATTTTACAGATTAAATTTCCTTCATGCCTCATCGGTCATCACGTGGAGACACTAGCCGAACTGACATGTTTGTACACACTTGTATATCACTGACCATGCCGAAGTTTAAACTCCACTAATCCTCCAGTACTCAACCGATGCACGTTCTTTAGATCGTATGAGCGATGGGTTTGTACTTCCCCATGCTTCAACTGTTCGTAGTTCTTCAGGTTGTGTTGATCAACTGACTTGCTTGTCTCCGTACCTCAGTCAGAAAACGTCACATGGGGACTAAAAACGGCTTGATAATTTGTTTTGGTTGTGGGTGGTAGTTGGATCGGCAGTGTTCTCATCACTTCACCCGTGTTTGAACAATCTCAGCACGGTTACTATTCGTCCAAAATATACGCAACAGATGATCACTAGTAGAAAAGGAACTCAAGTTCAGTCCTTGCTCTTTCGTGTCGACTCTTGCGAATAGTTACACCAGGAGAAGAGAAGGACTGCTCAAATGAGTGCGCTGTAAACGTGAATTTGTCTGTTAGCTTTGGCGCATGCCAAGCCGTTACCAATAGGATCTTCGGTGCAAACCCACTAGGTCGTCGCATCTGCGCTACACATATGCTCAAGTGGTACTAGATAAACGAGTAACGTGATAAATTCTGCAAGTATGAAGCGGACAGAAGCGCATGCTTTGATTCGTTATCGGGCCGAAGTTTTTGCCATGGTGCACTGGACACTGCCAATGCGACGTTTTTTTTTACCTAGGAAGATACTTGATATGTTTCGGCAGACTAAACTATTCAAAATACCCAAGCAAATCTATCGTGCTGTTCCAGCTACGTCCAGCTCAGTAATCACCCAAACTGGTTGAACCTGTGGCCTGCTTACACATGGAGTACAAGTCGCACAAATGCATACTCCTATGAACAGTGGAACTGGTGCTTAGAAGAATCATCGCGTAAGCCTTCGAGCTGCCTGTGTCATCAACATGATAGTATGGGTTGGGTTGCCCATGCCTTGATTTTGCTGCTGAATATTCCGGTAAGTTAGCACGTGTGATCAACAGTAACAACTGGTTGGGCATCGCTCCAAAAAATGCCGTAAAACTTAATTTTGGGTTTCAGAACTGAAATATTTTAGGGACATTGTTTATGATTTCGGCTGACAGAAGTCGCGTTGGACGGAATGGGGATTCTCACCGTGATCGAGCTCTATTTACTGCACGATGGTTGTATGGCGGTTGTGCAGAGGTAAGAATTACAAGCACATTTGATCAACAAAACAAGTCCCATCGGATGACATGGGGCTTTTTTCATAAATCACCCAGTTCATCAAAGCGGTAGAACTCATGGAAAGATATCAAAGATCAGCCCCTTCTTATCGGGTAACTAAATAATTAGTGACCCATCACGACGAAGAACATGCTGCGGCCGCTCCCGAGCTGGCCCCCCAATTGGCCAGCCCAAGCTACCCAGGCACGCTTTTTAGCTCCAGGCCTTATAACTCCGCCACAAAGAACGTGTTTATATTCACTTGTTATTTTAGTCGTGGGTCTCAAGTTAAGGGCGGGCTAGCAATATTAGTAGATGCTAAGAATATGGTGAACAGGATGAGTGAGTTTGAGCCTGCCTAATCCGTCTAACGCAAGAAGCACTATACAAAGCACGTGCCCTATATAGATGTTTAGTATGAGAATTTGAGGTAAGCCTGCCTGATTTGCAAGTATACGTTAGCATGTTGCTCCCATCTGCAGATTTACCGGGGACATCTGTCACATATTTTGGTTTTAATCGGGTGGCGGACGTTAGTAACTAAACCACTAATAATTGAGTGCAGTACCACGTTGCTTCCTCACTGTTCTTTTGGAATTGTGGCCCCAGGCCTGTGTACAGTCGAAAGTTGAAACTAAGATAGTTGCTCGTAATACAGGCGCGCCTTGGATTAGGTTTTTTGTGCTTAAAGACAACCAAAGTGAGCTTTCTTTACTGCAACAATTGTGTAATTCGCAAAGCTCAAGACCGATTTTTCCGATCGAAAATTTAACTCGAAACCTACGAACAAAAAATGAAAATTGGTCCAAGTACTGTTCAGACAAACTTTATCCAAATGAATACAATACTCACTAAGTGAGAGCCATGTCATCCCGTCTGCCTCTCTTCTGCTTTTACGGCACTGCCAGTCATCCAACCGTTTTAACAGGTGGTACTTAAACAAGTTGTGTTAATTATCCTCTTCCATAAATTTTACTCTATTTTGACTGTCATCTGTGAGAGACATGTCAGATGTAAACAGTAAAGCTGGCAAAGATTCATGGTCATTTTTCAGTATTGTAAAACAGCTTCAGTGCATATCCCCCTGGAGGCTAACTTGGTACAAAATGCATCAGCACACTAACACTTCAGAAGGGGTTTGAAAATATACTGAGGGGAATTCTGCCTGCAAATTCAAACCGGTTCCCAGCTTTTGAATTAAAATGGGAATTAGCGGGTCGCTGTATGCAAATCTGTTACCTAGGTCCTTAATCCATAGTTTAAAGTAAAAATCCTCAACCAATGTCTCACGGCGTCTCAACAACACAAAATCCTCACCACCTGGAATCAT